TATACAACATTTGCAAACATCGAAAAATAAAACTATCAAGTTTTTGCGAAATACCTTAACAGGATGTTGGTAAATGACAGTCTAAAGCATCCTGTAAAATTATTGCACCTGGTATACTGTCATTTTCAAGAAAAGTGGTATTTTTGTATCAATTTCCAACGCTGATCGGCCGATCAGCGTTGGAAACAACTGGCTTTTTTTCAAATACTGGCCCCAATTGACCATTGCACTTGTTTGCAATCGATTACAAACCTATAAACGGGTACGAGCCAGCTAGACTGGTTCCCTGACCTTACAATTCCCCCAATGTATGTAAACTGCTCTGTTTCTTCTTATATGGAGTCAGGGAACCAGACTACAGGAAAATGATCGTTTTTCTTGGTTTTTATAGCATTTTCGAACCCAAAACCTCCAAAAAGTTAGTGTAACTATATTTGCTTTATATTTCCAACCCCCCAATTCCACCCATTTCTGAAAATTACAGCAAAAGCAAATGATGTATATTCCCTTTAATGACAATGAACTTATGCATATGCAACAACCATTTTAGCCAAACTCGTTAATCAATGGAGCAGTAACATTGAAATTGGCCAACTTAATGGAGTGGCCATTATTGACCTAAGGAAGGCATTTGATACAATTGACCACAATATTCTTCTCACAAAACTTAAAGAACTTGGTTGCTCAAATCACACTGTGAATTGGTTCTCCAGCTACTTGTCAGACTGGACTCAAAGGGTTTGTTTTAAGAAAGTATTTTCTGACCGATTAAAGGTTGTTAGTGGAGTGCCACAAGGCTCAATTCTAGGTCCCCTGTTATGTAAATTCCATGCCGTCTGCAGTTACTGATGGTATAGTTGACATGTTCGCCGATGACACTACTGTTACTGTCAGCGGCAAGACAGCAAATGAAGTTGCTAACAAATTATCTGTTGCAATAGACCAAATATGCAGATGGTTAGAGAATAATAGACTTGTGTTAAATTTTGATAAAACGAATTCTATGATGATAGGAACAAAGGCAAAATTGAAGAATTCGAGCGAAATTACGGTGGCAGTTAACCAATGTTTAATTAAACGGGTCAAGAGCACAAAATGCCATGGGGTAATAATTGATGAAGAGCTAAATGGTCTGACCTTGTCGATAACGTTGTAAGACGGTACAGACAAAACTTGCAATCTTGAGACGCGCAAAACCATGTATTCCATTTAAAGTACTGAAAACAATGTATAATGCTTTCGTTTTACCACACTTCGACTACTGCTCACAAATATGGTCGGATAGGTACCAAATGTACAATGATAGATTAATGAAGTTACAGAAGTATGCAGCCCGTTTAATTTTGTCTAAGGGTTTTGACACTCCATCGAGTAATCGTTTTAAAGAATTAGGATGGTTGCCGTTACATGAACGATTTTTTTTTATTTAAAGGCAGTGTTTATCTTTAAATGCACTCATGGTCTTGCGCCATCGTATTTAACTAATAATTTAACTCAACTTTCAGATGCACACGATCACAATACAAGAGGCGCAACTGCTAATAATCTGATTGTTCCAAAGTACAAAACGGAGTGCTACAAACCCATAGTCCAGTTATCAATTGTACCAGTATATGGAACACCTTGAGTACTGAAATTCGCCTGGCGCCATCCTTATCTCATTTTAAATCACTTCTTATAACGAATCTTTTAGCTTCTGGTTCTTAATCTTTTTATTTTTCGCTGTTTTAATTTTACTTGTATATACCCCACCCAGTTTGATTTGTATAATTTATTCATGTGTCATTTTAACTATTCAACTTCATAACCTTTTTTTTTATTTTTCTAGATTTTCCGAACTTTTGATTTAGTTTTTTATTAACTACGTATACTATTGTTTTATCCTTTCCATGCTTGTGTTTTATTGTTTCATTATTTTGTTTGGTGTATATTTTTTTATAGTGTATTAAAACTTCTATTTATGTTTTATTTAATTTTAATGATATATTTCCCAGGACCCCATGGAAGACCACAAGTTAATATGAATGGGTTTTTGGTAAAATAAAAGATAATAAAAATAATAATAATAATAACAAGGGGGTAATTTGGGGTTGCTAGGAGCAAAAACTCAATTAACTCCCGTTGGGGGTGCCCTACAGCAAGTTAGCCGCAACTTGACAGGTGGCTTGTTTTCAGGCAAGAAATCGCAGTCAGAGATTTTTTTCTCGCCTTTTTTTGATGAAATATGAGTCATCCATCCTTTCTCGTGCCGCAGAAATGGTTTGGGGGATTTTTTTTATACTTCGCTTCTTTATAGGTTGCAGACCAGTAAATCGGTCCGAAATTGCCTGCGCCGGCCAAATCACGATTTGCATGCCCTCAAAACCTTCAGTATTTAAGCATGCTGTGGGCCATAAACTTGAGGGTTTGTAAAAACATATGGGTGGAAGCCGTGCACAGGACTGTGAGCTTGTAGGTCCGTTCAATTTGGATGAAATTGGGGCCCTTAAAGCGTTCTATTTTGCAATGGAGTGTAGGCATCGTTTTCCAACATGGCGATGGGCTTCAGGACTATTTTCAAGGGTGATCATCTTCGGATGGAAATTTCGCCTAAAAGTCATCAGTTAACCCCCAAAAAATTGAAAATAAAATAAAAGATGATGAAATAAGCTTTAATTTGATGTGTGTCTCGAACACCTTGGAGAGTTGTGAGTATTATTCCCGAAATTCTGAAGTGTGAGCATTTACCATTGGGGTCAATGGAAGTTTATTTACTGGTCTGCAACCCTAGCCTGGGAACCTAGCGCTATTACAGATTTACGCCGCTACACTGTATACATGGGATATTCATGCAGCTCGGGAAAAAAAGTAGCTGCTAATTTATTTATTCGTTATTTCATCAAACCCAGATATTTGGTGTGAAATTCACATTGCCGACATTGAGCCAGATTGAATAACTATGCTAAATGGTGATTTGACAAGCATCCGAGCCACATGCATATCCCTTAGCCTAAACATTATAAGCCAATAAAAAAATACCTTTCTTCACTATTATAAGGTTGGCACCAAAATTACACTTTGGTTATTTTCATTTTAGATCGTCTAGAAAAATATACATTTTGTAAAATGTTTCTTACCGAACTGTTTTTGTTAGCCTCCCGGGCTGTTTTGCCGTTATTTTGATTTGCCACCTGACACCACACCTCAGCTGTAGATCAATAGATTCAACAGACCATTCATCCCCCAATGTATAATTATATCAGGATATTTTCCTTCATATAATACGAGGCATGTGCATAGCTTTCAGACAGCTTTCAAACAAAAAAACATTAGTTCAAGTGTGAAAAAATCCAGAGATGTTGCAGCTCTCTGATCAACCTGAATTAAAACTGTTGTTGCCTCAATTAAAATAACACAATTTCATCAATATTTTCCATGAAACACTATACGCGTGGCGGCTACGGAAGTAGGATCGCACCACTAGAGATATTAGACCTGACCTCATAATGGGTACAGGTGTCGCGGACAAAGTGAACTTGGAATCCGCGCAGACTTTGAATTCCCACTTCGTCCGGCTGGGCAAGGTGGGAAATTCCAATACTGCCTGGCAAAGCAGGAATACATCCAAAACTTACATATTGCAATTGTACGAAGTTTTCAACGTACTCTGATGATTGGCATGCGAACATTTACTGTACTGTGCCAATGCAAACAGCCAATCTGCCCATAGCTATAGATAAGGGGTGTTGAAATTACCCATTGGTAATATTCCTACATCGCGCTACTACTGAACCAAAGTAAAGTGTGAATTTGTAAATTTGATGTACTTTCTGTTGTAAGAGCAGACCCGGATAAAATGTTTCGTAGGCCCTAGGCACCAGTGTTCCGTAGGCCCTAGCTACTCCCCCTATGGCACCGTCACCAAATTAATGTTGATGCTATAAAGTACAAAGCACTGTACAAATCAAGCCAGGACAAACTGGTATATGTCTTAGCGCTAAAAGCCTTTCGGCACTAAGGGCGTCAATAGCTACTCAAAAGTGGGGGTGGTACATACAAACATGTATCTTGATCAGAACTATAATGCGAGTGCCAAGCCTAAACGGCGTGGGGTTCGGAGCCTGCTTCAGGACCCCGAAAAAAAATTGAATTGTGTGCGATCTGAGGCAATTTCTGACCACTTTAACCAATTTTTGTTAAGCAAAAGATCAACATTTAATTATCATTTTCGAGATTTTGTAGTTTGTATTTGGGGACAAAAATAGTCAAACCCCCCCCCCCCCGGTCCCCCACCGATCGACACCCTCGTTGGCACCGTGCTTCAGAACGACCGACTTTACATGTAGAAATCCGAAAGCTTTTAAAAATATTTTCTCTGCGTGTTGATGATTGTGTGAGTAGGCCTACTTGTCTTATGGCACACTGTGGTATTTTCGTAGGCCCCGAATTTTTCGTAAGCCCCCAAAATTGTCGTAGGCCCTAGGCACAGTGCTCTTATTGTGATAGGCCCATTGAGTATATGCATGTACCGTACAAAAACGTTGTATATACCAATGTAAAGGAAAGGTTTGATTACTTTTTGTTCACAACAGAATTTAAAGAGGTGCTCTCCGTTATCTTCAAAATTTTGACTGTTTTTTCTCCTAACAAATATAATTTGCTTTAACGTGGGGGTTCGTCGTAACTCCTCCGGGGATAAAACATTATTTTTTTTGCTTGCTTTGAGATCAAACTGACCCGCCCTATAAGAATGTAAATTACTTATTCCATTACTTAAAGTGAGCCATTTTATTTTGCTTTATGTCTCATTCAAAGGTGAATTGCAATTGGTTAGTTGGCTTTCGGTTAATAGCACAGAGGATACATATTTTACGACCAAAAGAATTTTTTTATGATCGCATAATGCGGGTACCCATATACAATTGTGTCTCCCGCATTCACATCGATTGGGAAATATGGATCTGCGCTTGCGTACGTTTGACGGCATTTCAATTTACATAATAGCATCGACATTACGCATTCCGGTACACCTGTGTGCAAAATCAGCTTGAGTAGGCCTATACTTTGGCAGGCAGAGTCTAACATATCCATTGTCTCATTGCTCCCGTGCTTTCTGCTTCGGCATACAATTTAGCCTTTGTGACCAAAAAAGCGATTTGAGAGTATTTCTATCAAAACTGAAATAGTTTTCTTTACACAATGCATGAGGATTTTGGTTTTTTGTTTCTTTCTTTTTTTACGACACACGATTTTCTGTGAAAAGGAAGCAGTAAAAGCCTAACACTGACCTTTTTTGTACAGCACTACAGCACCATAACAGCTGAACATGGCCGTTAACCGTGTACTTCAAGTCCTGTTTTTTCTTCAATCGGTGGCTTTACTCGGGCTCATCATGCGTAAGTTTTATTACCATTTTTTTTTTATGTTTGGTTGTTTTCAACAAAGAAAGACGGCACGATCACATAAGGCATAATGAAACGTTTTAAGAGCAAATTGTAGAAAAGATGTGTAACATAATATAGAACACATTCTCGAATACTGAGCCAGTTTGGTATTCCAAATAGTCTGTCTTCTGAATAGTCTGACAATTTTGCTGGTACCCCTTTATGTTTTTGCACGCAGACGTTTTTATCCAGAGAGAAAAAAAATCAGCAAATCTTGATTTGCACATACGCAGTTGGAATACCGAACTCGCTAATTCGCGGCAGGCTAGCCTACGCAGAAAGAAGCAGCTTTCGCATTGATAAAAAAAAGAAACAAATCTACGTCCAAGGAGGAAACCGTCAGAATGTAAATATGATTTAATTTACCGAAGGAACGATTTGCAGATTATAAAAAAATGCTGCGACAGTTTTGAGTCTGGTTCCCTTCAAATGGAAATTAAAATGTGATACATTAGTTTACTTCAGTGATAAACGTTCGCACTTCGTATCCACGAAAGTGTTTCTTGACGTGTCATTTCTTGTGTGGTATGAGATGTTTGATTGAGCTTGGCTATATTTTTTTCAGATTGGTCCCGTAATTGCGATTCATGTGTAATTCTGAAGACTGCAATGATAAACCAAGCTACGGGCAATATGTATAGCAAAGCAACCAGCGTCCCGTTTGCAAGTACTGAGCGTGGACAATTATCGAATTGCACACTTAATGACATCCTACAGCGACCCGGTGTGGTAATGTTGACAATAACCAACCTGGGCTTCCTAGACATGACCATGAACATGTTGGCGAGTGTCCGTAGGGTGGGCATCTGTGTCAATACAACTATCATCGCTGAGGATGAGAAAGTATACAAATATCTGCACAAAAAAGCTAAAGGGGACCCAGCAGTGCATGTGGCTATGACCAACTCTGGTCTCATGCAACCTGGCGAAGTGAAGCGCAAAAATGCCCGAACCTATTTTGACCTTCTGAAGAAACGCCAGGGGTATTTTTTGAGTCTGTTGGAACAAGGCTTTGAGGTTCTTTTCACGGATTCTGACACCTTTTGGTTCCGAGATCCATTTCCGTACTTCCAGGGAGACTTCGATATGTCTATGATGGACACGAACTCACCTTATCCGACTCGCACATCAAGAGCACAACACTGCTCCGGTTTTATTTACATGAAGCCAACCGACGTGACACTCCTGTTTGTTAAAGAGTGGATTCGGTCCCTGAAAGGGAAGCATATCATGGATCAGATCGTGATGAACAAACTCTTGCAAGCTGATCAACCGGTGCACGTCAACATCAAGCCACTCGACATTAAACTATTCCCACCAGGGCCTACGTTTTACGAGTTCTTAGCGAAGAACGCCAGCTACTCTGCTGTTGTGATGCACGCCGCCACTATCCATGGACACGATGAAAAAGTGCAAAAATTCAAAAGCTCCAATATGTGGTTGGTCAATGCAAGCAGTGACGAGTTGGTTGCCCGTGAGCAGTCATTGTATGTAGGCCCTTACACCAGTAACTAACATTTTGTGTTTTTCATGGGTTTTTTTTGGTTTTGGTTGGGTTTTTTTTGGTGCAAACCCTAAACTACTGAGAAAAAGTAGAGTTTGAATGGCATCAATCGGGACGGTACCACCAGCTGGTCTTTGCCCTGATATTGGATCAGTTTCATTTGACAATTCCTATATGTTGTCTTTAGGTGCGGGATAGTCCAATGCCTTTACAATAAGCCAGATGAATGTTTCACTCCCGCATGCGCATTCTAGCTTTTTAATTCTTTTAATTCGGAGTGGGATACAGGCAGACTAGTAAGTTTGATAGCAATGTACGTGAATACATAGCATTTGTCTTTGTTAGCCGAGATTATTTGTTGGCTACCGTCGAAGGATAATGAAACACTATGTTCGAGAATGTTGTGAAACATAAATGATGTTAGAGGACAAACGAAAACAATTTTCATTTTAAAATATCACTGAATGTTGACAAGCGGAAGATAACATAAGCTACAAGGTATCACAAGTTGCTCAGAACCCCTACACTTATAGTGACATAGATATTCAGTTGACAATGTGCAAGTGGCCGTGCATTATTCCCTTCCATGAAAATATGAAAAGTTATTCTGCTGTATTAAACTTGTAAACAGCCTCTATAATTTCCAATTTACAATATTGTACAGCGAGTACCAATATTTCAGGCACTGTTCTATGGTGGAGGCAGGAATATACGGGGCCGATGTTCTCGGCGACCCCCCCCCCCCCCCCTTGTCTGTATTAACTCTTCCCAAGATGTTCCTACCAATTTTCAGAACGTTTCTTGATTTTTTTGTATGAATAAACACAATATTGACATTTTTCTTACATTTTCTATCCCCAAAAAAACAAATTAAATTCCTGTGACTCACTACCCCCATCAATTACAAAATACGCCAGAAGCTCTGCGTTGTTTCCATTCAATCATCTGAAAATATAGGATATACATATTCATGATTTCAATTTTTAAGCCATCCAAACGTTTTACGAACTGTGTTTGAATTGTGTACAAAACATTGACCTCATAACTAGAATCATCACTGTTGAAAAGATAAAGCACCACAGCGTGTCCTAATAAACATTGTGCTTGAAGAAGTCGCTGATTTGCTCAAAAGATGGTCTTACTAGCTCAGTAATCAAATTTAAATTTTTTCTAACCCTTTGGTCTTGTTTATAATTGGAGAAAATACCAAGAAAATCCATCGATGCAAACTAGAGATAGCGTTGATTTTGTAAGGCTATATTATTTTACTCCTGCACAACTAGAACCCGGTAAATCAAATTAGGTTTTGCCCTTCACACTGTATACTCAGTGTGTTACCTCCCGAGTGAAAGATGGAAAAAATATTTCCATACTTTTTTTTTCCATCTTTCACTCGGAAGGTAACCACTAGCGAACGTAACCTGCATGGAAGCACATTTACCAGCATTGAGTCTCATGTGATTGTTCTGAACCCACTCGGCAAGGTTGTCAAGATAGCTTTGCATATCTGATGGAGTCTTACGTTTACTGTGCTTAACCATTGTTAGATCATCAACGTATTTCAGGACGGTAGGTGTGACTACCGCATCATTGACAATTTCCAGAAATCCGAGTGGGCCGATGCGCAGCTAGTGCACCACTGAGAGATTTCCAGTCACCTGTTGCACCACCGTAGCGGATACAATGTTCTCTACCGCTCAGGAAGTTAGCTATCCATGTTACGACATAGGGGCGATTGCTTTTTTCCACTGTCGTGGGACGATTCCTTCAGTTGTTAAGTATGTCTGTTAGAGGGCCAGTGATCGAGCTCACAGGCAAACTCACAAATTATCCTGGCGGAGACACCATCTGGCCAGCAGATTTTCCCAATTTAGTATTCTTGAGCACTGCGTAGATTTGATAGTTCTGTACTCTTGGGTCTGGTTGAGGGTCTGGACTGCAGTAGGCTGGCAATGAAATAGTTTCGAGTGGTTTAGGCGACTCGATATGAAGACGAAGTGGTGGTTGATGCAATTCGCAACATTCTTCGAGTTGTGTACATTAACGCCAGGAAGGGGGTTAATGGTGGTGACATTACTCCGAATATGTGTATACCATTCAGCAGGATTAGCGTTCTTGTGTTGCTGAACGCGATTCGTCCAGAACCTATTGTTATTGTAAGAATTTACTATTTTTAGGCGTTGGGCCTGAGCCCAACACCTATTGTTATTCTACGAATTTACTATTTTTTTGGATTCTCCAAGACACATTCTTTTGCAGATCTCTTTGTCAACATGAAAAGTGATATGAACTTCAATTGTCAATACATGAATGAACAACCCAATGAAGATATATTTTCATGTTATGACGTCATCCTGTCGTCATCGTGGTCACGTGACGTAACTTCAAAAAATAATAAATTTAATCTTTCAAATTCAATATGAAATCAACCGTCACAGACCGCAACTTGAATTTTGCGGGAATCGACATGATAGTACATGCTCTTCGTTTTATCTTGTGCACGTCAAATCACGTGATCCTTCATTCCGGTCGAAACCGGAAGTGCCTTATAATTTGAAAGTGGAAAAAGATATGAACTTGCTTTTAACGATGTTAGCGTTTGCCTAGATTGACACCTTTCAAGAAAACTGAAGGGTGACGCCATGAACAGTAGGAGCGCCCTCTAGCGGCAGGTTAAAAAACGCATTTTCACTTGATGTCCGTGGGGAAATTTGCGGTAATTGCTTCAAAATTAATATACATGATGAACTCAATGCAGACAAGACATGTGCGCGAAAAAAATTGATTACGTCATCAGACCGGAAGTTATAAAGAAAATACCCCCAAAACCTAAACAATTGCTCAAAAAATCAACTGAGAGAGATAATATCAATATGTGGCTTTATATAGCACAGTAAATATTGCTCTGGAGGTTTCTGGTAATGACGTCACAATGACGCCATCAAGTGTCATATCACAAGCAAATAAAGATTTCTATATTTAATCTTTGAAAATCAATATAAAATCAACCGTTTCAGATTTGATTTTGTTGTTTTTTATGACAGTCGATACAATATTACAGAGTCTTTATTTTTGGTATTAAGTGCAAGATCACGTGACCCTTCCTTCCGGTCGAACCCGGAAATGCCTTATAACTTGAAATTTGCAAAAGATGTGAACTTGCTTTCAACGATGTGAATTTCTGCCCAGGATGTACTTTACAAAAATATTACAGGTGCCGTCATAAAATGAGACAGCGCCCTCTAATGGCATGTTGACTAAGTTAAACATAGATTTACATATGCATTTTGAGTTGATGTGTGTGGAAAAGTTTGCGGTAGTCAATGACCCAACACCGTGTGGTTGTTCCTACAACCTCTAATTTCGCTTATTTTTGCTTATCATGTTTGCTCACCTTGTCGCAAAACTGCTTCCATCTTGGGGCATGATGTTCAGTGTGGAATATTTGCTGTCTTTCCAGGATGACTTTTTGATGCACGTTGTCATCCATGGCTTATCTTGGGAATGAACTTTGATGGATTTGGTTGGAAATAGGAGTTCAAAGCCCCTTGTAGAGTATTATAAAAGGCTGAGCACTTGTCTGTAGTACATGACTTGGTGTAGACCTCTTCCCAGTCATGGTAGACAATCCATGAACCGAAATCCCGGTTTGCAGAATCATTCATTGGGTGAAATCTTTCATTTTCATCGATTATTTTTCTTCTCTTAATTTATCGTTTAGATAATTTTGACTTGAGGAAAACCCAGAAAACGAGAACATAAGTGTCTTGCAATGATTCAAACGAAAACTTAAATTATGCATGACTTGGCCCAAACCCTAGTTGGAAAAAATACGCAAGTGGGCCCCAAACCCCGTGCCGTAATTTTATGAACATACTATTTGAGGATAATGTATGTTATCAGTCATCCAGTAGTAGTTGATGATTTTTCTTAGTTGAAATCGAATACGAGAACTTACTTTATCTTTTTTTTGCAACTGTGCGACGTTGCGTCCGAAACCATCGGACTTCGTCAGGCAACTGGTGACCCGGTGGACTGGTCACGTGAGAGACGGCTAGGAATCCCTTGAATGGCCCGGTCCCATGCATGTGATAGGTTGAAGCGTAGCCCCCCTCTTTTGTTGAGTGTTGGTTGTTCGACCCTTTCCCAGATGGCCTCCTTGATGCCTCTTTTGTGCCACTGCTCTTCCTTATCAAGGATCACAACATCCTCGTTTCTGAGAGTGTGACCAGAGTCTCGTAGGTGTAAGAAGACAGCAGAGTTTTGTGCCTCGTTTGTGCTAGGCCGCCGATGTTGGTAGGTCCTGGATTTTAGGGATTGTTTGGTTTCCCCAACGTACGACTCCGAGCAGTCTTTATCCCCGCAGATGATCCCATATACTACGTTGGAACGTGTATCTTTGGGCTGTCTGTCCTTCACTTGAACTACTTTCCCCCGTAAGGTGTTGGTCGGTTTGAAGCAAGTGGCAATGCCACGTGACTTGAAAGAGTTCTTGATCCGTTCAGACAGTCCGGCAACTCTGGCCACTCTCAGAAATGAGGATGTTGTGATCCTTGATAAGGAAGAGCAGTGGCACAAAAGAGGCATCAAGGAAGCCATCTGGGAAAGGGTCGAACAACCAACACTCAGCAAAAGAGGGGGGCTACGCTTCAACCTATCACATGCATGGGACCGGGCCATTCAAGGGATTCCTAGCGGTCTCTCACGTGACCAGTCCACCGGGTCACCAGTTGCCTGACGAAGTCCAATGGTTTCGGACGCAACGTCGCACAGTTGCCAAAAAAAATAATAAAGTAAGTTCCAGTATTCGATTCAACTAAGAAAAATCATACTATGTGAGGGACTATACATTTTCCGCCCCCCCCCCCAAAAAAAAAAAACCAAATGGTGTTAATCTGATTCTTTTAATTTATCGATTTCACATTCATTCATTAAATGAATAGCAAACGTCCTTCAATTTTACCTTTAAGAAGCATGTTAAAAGGTACTCCACTTTTGCGCTGTTCAAAAAGGAAAACTATTCTGTATAATTTCAATATTTAATTGAATATCTTAGTGTCAATTATTTGCTTAAGATATTTTAGAATTTATCTCACAGAAAAGTCATCTTTCAATTTTTTGTTGAGTTTATTTTAATGATTAACAGAAGTGATATAATTAGAAACCAACTCCCTCAGTCTATCTAGTTGGGACTGGAGAGGATTCTGATATGTTAGTTAATTTACAAATGTGGTTATGTTGTATTTATCATGATCCCTGTGTAGTATTTATCATACCCTATATAATGTCCACGGCCTACGGGATTTTTTCAAAAACAAATCGTCAAAGCTTTTGGCAATAAGTCTCGCTCGGCTTTACTGTTACTTTTGTGTAACAGCTGATAATGTAGTAACAAACGGATAACGTGTCAATAACTGATAATGTAACACAAATACTTACCGATATTGTAGTAAATATGTTACTAGACTACCAGTCAATTGTTTGTTACATTTTCTATTAGGCCCGATAATATAGCAACGATTGACTGTTGCATTATTAATGAAACAGTATCGGTCAATTTTTGTGAAACTATCGTTTGGTGATTCGTTTTAACTACATCAAAAGTTGTAACACATTCGTTCTACTTGCTTGTTAGTTAATAACACCCATTCAAAAGTGCAATTAAATTATCTATATATACATGGAAATATTCTTTACAGTGTAATCTATAGACTACTGTGTTTCAATAATAATGACAGATATTTCGCATTTATATTAGGTATCTATGACAATTAGAGCAAACAACAGCATTGGTGAACGTCTTGGCATCTCGTCAGCGACAAAAAAAATAGTAGACTTGTACAGCACAAGCTGAAATCTAATCGCATTTTAGCGTGAACGTGCTGTCTGCTTGCTCGTAACAAATTCATTTTTCCCCTCATTAATCATCTTGTCTTGAGAAGAGAAAATCTAGCCTTTCTCTATTTGGGGGCAGCTGCAGTGGCGTAGCCACGGGGGGGGGGGGGGGGGGGGGCGTGGGGGGCGACAGCCCCCCCATGAAACCTTGTCGCCCCCAAGTCGCCCCCCCCCCCCACTGAGATTTTGAGTTTCTTAAAAAATTATCATTGATCTACATGACGCCCCCCCATGAAATGTTCCAGCCCCCCCCCCCCCTGAAAAATTCCTGGCTACGCCACTGGGCAGCTGTAACCCTCTGCCAATGGTTTTCATTAAGGGGTTGATGTTGAGCACAAACAGACCGCTCTACAACAAAACTGTTTCCCGATCCCGACATTATCGATTCTCAAAGTGAGGCGGGAACCAGTCTACCTAGAACTGAACTATTGTCAGGCCATTCATAATTTGTATACATGTAGTAATAATAGTGCGGGAAATAGATCTTTTTGAGACATTCCCACAGATTTGTGCACAAATTTGTTCCATCTTTAATGTCACCTAGCCCCAATTCTACCTTATCATACCCCAACGAATTTTGGCCTATTTATGGTTTTTACCTCTGGAACTGTGACATTAGGGAGACATTTAAATGTCTCTCTAATATCCGATTTCTTTCTAAGTTATAATTATTTAACAGCTGTGATAATAATAGTGATAATGCTCTTTACTTGATAAAGCGCCATATTACCTTTAGCGTGATAATCAATGGGCCATCATTAAAAGCATGGGATATACAAGGATTAAAATACATTAAAACGGAATTTTTATCAGGAAAAAATCTTACATTTCATTACAACCAGACAAAATTTAAATTACAATTATAAATTTAAACCTATAATAATAAAAGGGTACATTAAAATTACCAGACTGACTAAGCTGTATACATCCGAGATCAACATTAGTAAACATGGGTGGTTTTCGTTTCGTACGTCGTCTCATTCAAAAGTTGATAAATATTTTACAGTTAGAGAAATAAAAATTTTAAAATGGAAATCTATTTTCTCGGGATGGAACAAATGCTTCAAAATAGCACGGAAAAGTACATCTTAGAGCACGTACAAGTCTGGCAGCTTCACACCCACCATATATGTGACCTCTTGGTACCAAACACTGACCAATTTCGACGAGGACTCCCTGAAAAGTCTGTACCAAACAGCATCGTGCGTGATCGACTGATCAGAATTTAACGTTGAATTTGATCTTTTCCTAACAAAAGAATAACGCAATTTCACAAAGCGACATTTTAGGTCAAAATGCACTCTCTATTTCCTCAATATGTCTCGATCCAGAAAACTCCAAAAGCACACTTCAGTCGTTAGGCAGGCGACTCAATTTTTCCTTGAAGCCAAAAGGTCGTATGGGTGCCCTTTCCCTAAGAAAATTAGAAGTTTAAAACATATTTAACCAAAGCAATAAGATATATTAGAGTGTGGTGTAAGCTGTTATAAATCCTTATACGCATAATTCATTATTCCCAATGCAGGACGACGGAATGTCAATTTTTTCCTGGCATATTTTACTTTATTACGAAATAGTTTTCAACCAATTAATGATCACAATTAAAAATATGTGATATTTTCCTGATGGTCATTTTTTTCCATGTAGCAATAAATCATTACCTTGATTTCAATATCACCTCGTAACTTGATGAAGAAACAGTCAAAGCTGTCCAAGACAGCCCGCGTCTCCGAGCTGATATGTATCTTCATTGCTAATAGAAATTATAAAAATCGAAAAACTTACTTACTCGAAAATACAAGTCATAATACACGTAATGATGCACAATTTGCTGGGTTATTTTATTGATTACGTAGTGGGTTGTATTTATACAGTGGAAAAGACTCCAGAAAAATATTCTGTGGAAATTGAGAGAATGGATTTGCTGGGTTGATATGTTAATTGGACTGATTAATTGAATTGATAAAGGATCTGCTTTGTTAAATCTAAAATTAATAAGACATGTGGTAATTAACCCTAATCAGGCCGGGTTATTTTGACCATCTCTCAGCCGGGAGCCGCCCCCCCCCCCCAGATCTCGGCCATCGAGTGACGAATTATAACCCAATTAATTATTTATATGTACGAATGGTAAATGTGCTCTGTGTACATGACGTATATGGGAAAATTCAGTTTTCACGCCGCGTAGCGCCGGAAAACTTTACGCTACGCGGCAACCCGTTGCCCGATTTGTATGTTTTTGGTATCAAAAGAAAGTCATAGCAGCTTAGTCGCGAAAAAAAAAGAAGGGCGGATTCCGCCCCTACCAAAATTAATCCTTTTGTGTTTCGCCTCCCAACCATAAATGTTCGTTTCTTGTACCACCGTCACTTTGCCGGTGAAAAACGTATTAAGTTCACAACGTCATACAGGCCGCATTAATTTCAATCCAGACAGTAAGCAGTTTGCAGCAGGCCTTTTCATTTTCAGATATATATTATCAAGTCTTGGTCTCTAAAGGTGTAGGTCTTGGTTTGGGTCTTGGTCTCGGAGTTCGACGTCTTGACTACATCACTGTCCGTTATTCAGTCATTACTTTGCGATTGGAATGAATGAGACAAGCTATGTGTAAATTTCTATCCGGATCCTCAATGTGCAAGCCAGTAATTCATTAGTTTTATCCGAAAATTCATTGGGCCAAAAAAAGTGGGGACTTGAACCTGGGACCTCCAGATTAGAAATTATTTTTTACCTTAACTATTGTTCACAATTTTTGTTTTCACAGCTATGTGGCGTTTAGTTTATACATGACCAAATATTGTGCAAGTTCCTTTACGAATACTATAGGGAAAAGCTGGAGAGCATTTCGATACCTTCTCCAGTTGATTCCATCCGTGAAGCAGTGTTCACCGTGTCTCCAAACAGGCAATAGCGCGGCATCTTTAGTCCAACCACACCGGCTACACATGGACCTACAGTACGATGAACGAGAAACAAAGAAAGACAATTTAATTCACGAAAAACGAATTAGATAAGAATTAGGGTTCTGATCTTCCTGGAGACATTGCAAGTATTCCCATGATGCTTAAAGCGCGTAGCTTTTACCTAAGATTATGTAGCAATATTATTCAAAAACTTTTTAGATAATCTAATTTCATCAGGATCCGAAAGATGAAATAATAATGACTATTAAAATGATGGGAGAATTCCTGTTTTCTACCCGTCTCTTTCTCCCACTGTTTCCGACGCATTGTCTTTTGCAAGTGCAGGTTACAGAATGACTTCACATCTTACCAGTGTGTATGCCAACCCGTAGCTGCAATTTCCTGTCCCGCTTGTGTCTTATCGTGAACGAGTCTACTTCTTGGATCAAAGCCAGGGCCATATTGGCGATTTCACGCGCATGCGCATTGCCATTACGGACAGGGACTCCTGAAACAACCATGTAAGCGTCTCCAATAGTTTCTATCTAAAACAAACCAATAAAATCAAACAGAAAAAAACACGTTAAGCATAAGTTTGAAAAAAAAAAACAATTGGTGTACCAGGCCATTGCAGACTAACAGGTCTAACGGGCAAGGGATGTTCCCTTTAAAACTCATCTACTTATTTCCATCTGTCGGCTTAGGTCACACAAAAAAGTCTCCGGTTTCTGGTATGCGCGCGCGTCGCCATAGCCATGCACGTCGGCAAAATGAAAAAGTTTTGTTGTTTTTTCAATAAAAGATGATGTCTCAAAACCGCCAACCTCACTGGTTTGACTGGAATCCTACTGCTGCATAATTTTAACGTGTTTTTAGATGGGGTTATGATCGAGAATAAGCTTTATGTGGCCTCTCTGGACTCCCATATATTTGTACTAAATATAGTCGGGCACCATTTGCAGTCATCAGCCGACATTTGAAGCAAAAAAAAACGGTTAAAAAAAAGCCGCGTCGCCGCACCACTTTTTGGGCAAGCTCCATACCAGAAACCGGAGACTTTTTTTGGCCTGAGGTGGTCTACACTAGCACCATCTTTTTGCATCATGAGTACCCAAAATATATTTTACACAATTTGGTACAATATATTACAGAGCCCAAGTGATTTGCTGTGTTCTATCTAGCACGTTTACGCTCTCAAACTATTAATGAAGTTAAACTACAAAATAATGAGTACAGTATATCGATCACAGTTACTTATAATCATCGGGTTTTACCTTATAAACGTCAAAATGTCCAATGATTCTATCGAAGCATGTGTACAAGTCGTTAAGCAGTGTAACCACCTGCGGAAACAAATCAAGAAAGGGAAAACGTTTTCGCATTTCCCCTTTTGATAAATTTAATGTTTACAACATTTCGATAACCGGACTCTCCTGACAAATAAGGCTATTTGCTTACAGTAAGAAAAAATACGATTCTATTCAACCTCATAAATAGGCCTATGGCCTTTACGGTCAGCGAATTGTTTTCTTCCATAACGGTTCCCATAGGAACGAAGAGACCACCCTCAACTAGGTTTATAACGGAAACTTGGTGTTTAAATCGCCGACACAAGGCAGGAGATACTGATTGGTTAGAAGAAGACGTGACTTCAAACCTGTTGATCTCTTTTAAACAGTTCGCATCAGACTGAGTCATTTTGTTGCTTCCTCTCATTCTATCTCTTAAATATCATCAGTGAGGAAGGAACATGACTTACAACACGTAAGCCTCAGGCTGGGTTAATGCCCATACCCACCTGCATGGGCGTGCTCTGGGCCGACAGCTCGGTAAAGCCTTTTATGTCACTGAAGAAGATAGTTACGCTGTCGTAGGATTCAGGGTCCACAGCTTTTCCCTCTTTCAGACGATCAGCAACAATCCTAGATAAAGAAGACAGCTTATTGCACTCCGTTTAACATGCTATAAGGACAAAGGCGTCGTTATAATTCAAACATGTCCTTCCATTTGTTATCCACTTCGAAGCGTCAATCAATTAAACCAATATAGGTACCCAAAAAGCCCAAATTTTCATGTCGAGATTTACAACAAATAATACACAAGTCAATGGGGCAATAATGCTGAACCTAAATGTGCTGTTTCAGTATGAACAGGAAAATGGAGTAACCTACGCATATAGGCTAAGTTTAAATAGAATGAGGAAGACTACTTCAGACACTTTGAATTTTATGGGAACGTTTATCTCCATTTGCGCACGTGCAGTTTGAATTCGAAATTTACTAAATTTTCAGATTATTAAAACAAGTGCGCCATTAACAGTTACTCGTCGTGTTTCAGTTGAAAAAAGAAGAATTGCCATTGAAAACCATTCCTCATTGAGAAAAAACTGCCAAAATGTAAACGATTACCCGAATGTTGATTACTGCACTGTAAAACGGAGATTGACCCATTATTACTGCGTCACAATAAACAGTCGTCTGTCTATATCGTGCACAAAATATGGTGAACCTAACCAAACAATACCAGTACCAAACAAACGAAACCAACAGCAGAATTTTTCTGTGAGGTCTGCCAAAAATATACATGTAAATAAACAAGACATAATGTGCGCTTTCGTTATCGGAGCTTGGCGGCTATAGTCCAGACGACTCCCATAGGAAAGCCACATGTAACGAGCGTAAGGTCATATATGTTTCGGTGCTACTGAAAGCAAGATTTGATTTGATTTACCGAGGGAGCAACTCATACAGCAGCGTCTCAGCTCGTTTCTTTTCCTCTAGGAAGGCTGCTGTTCGCTCGCTAACTAACTCCTCTAAGTTATTAGCGTACTGCTCCATACGATGCAAGAGGTTATCAAGGATGCATGTGCCCGTGCTGCTCTCTCTAAACAACAAATCAAAATTAGCAAAGCATGTTCGTAACTGAAAAATTCGGCGGTAATTGTTTTAACACTGCTGGTGGTGAAAGGCAGAAGACAAAGGCAAAGTACATTACAAAGTTAGTCAATGTCCGGTAACAGGCGGTTGTATAGCGATATGTACGTCGCACAATGGGGTGCATACCAATGTTCCCCAATACCGATGTTCCCCAATACCGAATGTTCCCCGAAATCCCAACCATATACCCTAACCCTAACCCTAATCCTAGCCCAAACCCTAGCCCTAACCCTATCCCTAACCCTAACCCTAAGGATTTCGGGGAACGTCGGTAGTGGGGAACATCAGGTAGACCCCCGCGCATTGAATACAGAAAAGGCAAGTTCCATCAAGCCATTTTATTCAGAACGAATAAAATGTTGCAGTTGATCCTAGTAATTTGGCATTTGTTGCTCGTGCATAAATAGTATGACATTCAGGTCTCAATAGCATAATTCACATTTCAAAAATAATCTGTCATTAAATGAATTTGAATTCATTTGATTATTGCTGTCACACGTAAATTACATATTAGAGGCAAGAGTCAGTTTAGACGTAAAATATTATTACAACTTTCTTTAGGGTACCCTGTACCATCAAACAATACGGATTTTTGGAGTCCCTCCTGCAATAAGCTTGTGATGCTTTTCAAAGAAATGATATAATAACTCTCCTGAAAGAGAACGGATTGTTTAAGCCTAATGAATAGTAGATGCTAAATTTGATTTTTACCCAATGATAACTGCGGGTAAATAAAGTAACAAGAGAGTCCCCCCCCCCCCAAAAAAAAAGGGATAATAATTCTGAACAAACCATTTACATGACCATTGGTATTGTTTTATTGGGGTAAGCTTTTCCTATTGAAACAGTTTGGGTAAAACAGTGTGTGAACACAACCAGACATAAGATAATTAAGTAGCTTCAGGGGTATTCAAGAAAACATGAACAAAACAGGATTTTCATCAATTGTTGTTCTTGGGCTGCAGCACGAGTTGTATTTCGAACGTCAAGAAAATGGTACATGTATTTTCCAACATCATTGGCGAGCACAAGTCGGTGCCCCAGCCCCACTGACTCATTGCTGTCAGTAATCACTTTCAGGAACTTAATTGGACAGAATATCACACTAAATCATGCTATGGAATGACCTTGAAAGCCAGCGGATTTGACTCCTTGTGTTTGTTTGGGGTATTTTTTAGGGGGGGGGGCGGGGAGGACTTATAAGAACAAGGTTTTTAGATTTCCACTTCCCAAACTCAGGCTTTGCATCTCCGTATTTAGCACGAGGACAATTTCCGTGATCAATGTGCAACGGTGAGATGCGCCATGAAAGATATGCGCCACCATAGAGGACTTTGCGTTGAAAGGCAGGTGCACCTGCCCCCCTGTGCACCTGCCCATGTCCACCTAGGTGGACATGTGGAAGGTGATACAGGCAATGAGTTGCATCCTGAATGATTAAGATTATCAATTGATAGTTATTCCCTTTTGTTCATGTTTTCACTACGTTAAACATACCACGAACCCACCTGTCTAGTGTGCTCTAAATATTTTGCCCAGAACTGTCCCAAGTGGGTTTTAAGGTACCATTTTCAAAACAATGGAACTCACTGAAGCATGACCAGAGGAATGCATCCAAGATGTCAATGGAAAGATTACTGCCCCTATACTTTACAATAAAACCATTATAATCGACAGAGCCTAAGTTCATTGTTCATATTATCCATTTGTTTATGGGTTGCCTTTTTCAAGACACCCTTTCTATATGTGTAAAGAAACATGCGTATTGACATGGAATAAATCGTCACCAACCTGTTAATTTTAGTTATGATGGTATTCAGTGAGTTGGCTGTGGGTCTCTGCGTTGGATCCTCTGCCCAACATGCCTGAAATAGATCACTTATTCTGGTGTCGTCATTTTCGGTGCGCCATTGAGGACGGAACGGAGACCCGTTTGCTGGCGGGTATTTGATTTTCTCCACTATTTCTGTCAGAGGATGAAAACGAAACTAAAAGTTTTTTATGAGATACGGCCAATTTATACAACAACGAAAGGAGCAGTTTAAACCTTGGGGTCTCCCATAGGATTTTGTTAAGATATAATAGACTTATATCTCTTGATTTACCATGTAGGCATGATCTTCTGTTTTACGCATAAATTGAAAATTTCACGACAGCATTTTTGACAAAGATTAATTAGGTTAATCACGCCAGAGTAACAACAGGTCCACTAACCGTACTCCTAACCAAAATAGCATATACCTTCCAAGACGATCATTGTAGACAATCTACTAAAAAAAAACAACGTTATTAGGTCTATCCACATGCACTTTGTGAAATGATTCACTATGTGTTGTCTACATGTACAAACTAATAAGGGTGTGGTGCACACATTTCTTATACGTGTATAATTTGTGGTGTCGCATAACCAGCGAACAAAATGAGACGGTACAAGATATATATTTTACCAGAGGCATTTTCACAGGGCGAAGTTGCGTTATTATAATCGTTACGTTTGACTGGAATGTAAACTCTGTCATGCCTACCAGTGACATCCATGTCCTTCGACTCAGTGTCGTATGGTCCCTCTCTCGTGAGCACATCTCTCATGATGATCCCAACACTGTAAATATCGCCCTCTTTTGTTGGACCTCGTGAAGGATCTCGAAGTAGCTCTGGTGCTACCCAGAATGACTCTGCATGGTGAAAAGGGAGAATAGTGTATGGTTCTCACGTTGAATAAGTGACAGCACGTTTATTCTATGTTTCAAATTGTGATCGAGCAAAGCCTTAATGTGCGTTTTTCTTAGTAAGCAAAACGAACAATTTCAAAAGTTTGAAGAGTCGTTATGTATGAGGAGGTGCAATTGATCTCGAACACAAATGATGACAAATGACATGCGTTCGCAATATGGTGGGAAATCCATTTCAAATACAAAGCCTAGGAAATCATGTATAGCACATTTAAACACTTCTTTGTCAACATTTCTGGACCTTAACAATACCGTTGAATGTGTGTTAGCCACTCTCATCAGATGATATACCCGTATTACAAAATCGGTTGACTTAATGTGTAATTATTTTTGCCCTTTAAGGTAACAAATATATCAACCTAAATTGTAGGGCTTTTTGACCACTAATGTAATAATCGAAAATCGACCTGTATCACCATGAAATGTAATAATGTATATCCACGTAAAAGAAATGCATTTGTGGTATAAGTGCAAGGGTTGGGGTGGTTTGGGCATTTATTGTTAGGAAACTTAAGATGCCCGCCGACGATTTGTTGGACATGTGGAATTATGGCATACCGCTAGCTCAAAGGGGTCCGAGTGGGTCTGGTCCACAATTTGTTAAGATATAGGTCTAGTTTATTTTATATTCTGATTTGACCGTTCTTTCCAACTGTTGTCATGGGGCATTCCGGTCAAATATCCCATGGAATGAATGGGCTTAGGTAGACTACAGTCAGTCTGCATTCAAACTGTTCTTTACTTGTTGACTCACTCGTCATCGCAGCATGGCAGCTGTTCTGTGATTTAACTACGCGCTCTCTGAAGGTATGCAATCCAAAATCAACCAGTTTGAGCACAAAACGGCCGTCGACAAGGCAGTTGGATGAGTTAAGCCTACCGTGTACTGCGAAGTCACTTCGGTGGAGGTATTGCACACCCTGTAAACATCAAATATCAACCACTTTAAAATTCATAATAATTTGAGGGCCATTTCCTCAGAGTAGAATAATAAATTACAGATAGATCTACATATTAAGTTATATAATATTATTACTTCTGGAGAGCATGCGCTTCGCTTTAACATTACTGTAACTATTTCAAATGTATTTTAAATGCACTAAAAAGTATTTAGACAAAAATATACTTATGTGCACGGACACTGTGGGATCAAAGTATATTCGAAATGTTGCAAACCATTTATAAAAGCAATCATATAAATAAAAGGCACAAGTTAATCGATCTCTTGTAAACAATATAGCAAATGTGGACCATTTTATTCAACAGATAAACAAAGAGAAAAGCAGTGGGAAAAAATTTCTATTATGTTTATTTTGATCGAATCGGCCTACCCATGTAAAACGAATGCACTTCTGTTTGACCTTGAGCCGAATATGCTAAATATAGTCAACTCGGGTGTAAATCCAGATTAACCTAACTATTTTAATAATGCGTTATCGTATGACTGACAAGTGCCAGTGTTAGAAATATGATCGTTGTGATGCGAGTTTAATTAATAAATTGGATCTATTTCGGTGTCTATGAATTTTAATGAGGGTTATTTTCCCATTGATTTAAAACGGTATGACGAACAAAATCAAAAAGCTTGGCAGGATTATGGAATATCCAACAAAGTATGTCTTTAATGATTTTTTGTAAAATCAAATAATTAAGTTCCAACCTTTTGATATAGTGCCTATAAAAAGAGTACAGTGTTTTACCTTAATGATGTCGCTTATGAGGGAATATTTGAATAGCCAGTCGAGTTTGATGGACTCATTCTGGAGAATGTCCTGCAATTAAACAATCATTTACGGTGTGTCAGCGAGAACCTGGAGTAAATGGTGGCAATTAATATCCGTCTTTTACGAAACGCTATTTCCACAGCCACTCAACGGGAGAACAGCGAAGTAGACCTAACTAACAGACATTGTGAATGCACTCTATTATGCAAATATGAGTGTCACTCAGAATAAAAAGATCGGAGTTAATCATTAGTCAAAGCAAACTTTCCCTAAAATGTGTACTTTAGCACGAGAAGCATCTTAGATCATAAGTCTTGGTTTGTTCCAAAATGACAACACAATGTGATTGATTTATAAAAAAAAAAATCTGCGAAAAGATTTAGTATTCATAAATATCATAATGTTAAATCAACTCACCATGAGGCTTCCCTTTGAACAATATTCATTGATGATAGCAACATTGGGAACATCCAAACACATCCCAATAAAGCGCGCCAAATTAGGATGCTCTAAATCGCGCATCTATTGAATGAAGAATAACATGGGGAGGACGATTATACAAAGACATATTAAAAGGAATGTTAATAAACAAAGAACGTAAAAAGATTTTGGATTTGTTCTGAAGACCTTTACTAGGCTCGTGATTCAGTTTGTTTACCACCTCGCAAAGAGTTAACTTGTTTAAGTATTATAAGACTCCTGACCAAATAGGCCTACGGGAAATTGACTAGGTTGATGTTTAACTAATGATGGGTTGAATACATTATCGGCTGAACTAGCTGTCCACACTCCCAATTTCGAAATGTCCTCGTTGCAGAGTTGTAACGAGTCACTGATTTTTGTGACTCGAGTCGAGTCGAGTCATTTTAAAGAAGTGACTCGAGTCGAGTCGAGTCATTAGGTCAACAAGGTCGAGTCGAGTCGAGTCGAGTCACAGAGTGTGGTCGAGTCGAGTCGAGTCGAGTCAAGTATTTAGCTCGAGTCAATTCGAGTCACAAATATTTGAACACTAAATTACAATAAAAAGCAACAAACACAAGAGAGAAAGAATACAAGGCACCAGTCTATTACGGAAATCCAAAGACATAAAGTATGCTGTATGGTACCCAACCAACAGTTTCCATTGCTAGCTCACGTCACAGATAAGAAGATGTGAAACTTCGGTCTTATAACTGGTTTGGCTTCGGGTCTAGATTTTGTTGTTCGCTGATCGCTGACAACGTTAAAACCTAATTGCATTATACAAAACTGTTTCTGATTATTTAAAGGTGGGCCCGTCCGTATCCATTTTTTTGTGTGAAATCGGGACATGAATTTAGCCAGCGTTCCACCAAGAACTTCAAAATCGCCCGAAACCAATGATGAAACCACGGATTGAGAAATGCGTTTTAAGTCTGGTTCCGGGTTTAGCATTACATGCTATAGAACCACAAGGTGGGAGTCCGCGACACGGTGTATGTTTGTTGTTTCATTATGGAGGAAGGAAACAGACTGCCGCTGTATATAAACGTACATTAGTCGCGAACATTAACGTGACGTGAACAAAAACTGGCAACGCGAACGGCGCAGCGTAAGTCATTGCAAATATTTTTCGCAAGTAAGTTTTGCTTTTATTTTGGGACTCGAGTCTTATTAGCCTTCCTCGAGTCGAGTCGAGTCATTCTGATGAGGGACTCGAGTCGAGTCGAGTCATTTGCTCGCAGTGACTCGAGTCGAGTCGAGTCATTTACCCGTCGGGACTCGAGTCGAGTCGAGTCGCCAAAAAATGTGACTCGAGTCGGACTCGAGTCGAGTCATTGACTCGAGTCATTACAACTCTGCCTCGTTGCATGAGGCAGGACGCAGGAGCTAGAAACGTGATTACTCGAAAGCAACGATGCCACTGCAACAACACCAGCAATGTAGCGAACAATATCATTTCAAAGCTTAGAATGATCCCTAATTGCCATTTCTACGTTGTTCTTGCATGGCAAGTTTACTGTGTCTCTCGTGACTCTGGACATGAAAAAAGACACGACGCTATTGAGACAAAGCCGGCATAGAGATAGAAATCGTTTGCTTGCGCAATGCGAGTATCGCAAGAGATGACCCATCCGTTATGATGAAGATGATCATGGTGACGTCGTAGCATCTTTGAACACTTTTTTTTTTAATTTTCTGCCAGTTTAACTGCAGTTTTTTTTGGCCAACACCACACTAAGGCAACAATACACAAGAACAACAAGACTGCAACAGCACGGTAACGTGGAAATTACGTAAACAGGAAGCACAGAGCCCGAAAACTTTATCTCATTAAAGTTGAAAGAGTTCAAAGTGAGAGAGGACTATGTCAAAACATAATTAAACAGTTACCTACCTGTTTCAGTTCGATGAGAAGATTTTTGTTTAAATCGACATGATTGATAGCCAGCATTTTAACGGCCACAGTTCGTCCCTAAAATTTACGGATAAAAAAATAAAACGACACAGTGAACAATTAAGTCACCGAATTTCAAGAATTTGGTAATTTATCTGTTTGCATGACTGTACAGTCTCCATGATGGATTTTAACATGTCATATGTATCTTTGCATTCGAACTGAACGTACAATATGAAATACCACGGTGATGATTTTTTTGTGAAGAAATGATTTACCTGATAATACGATGTCTTAGTGAATATCTGCTTCCCCTCCTCAGTTTTCATGGAGGAACTTCCCTGACAAACAAAACAAACCACATCGCCGTTCACTGATGGCTGCACAATACAAACGACGTTAAAGTGGATTATCTGTTTAACCTTTGATACTGGCCTGTGGCCAAGGTTAACGTCTCATCTGACCTTTGACTTACCATTTGCCATTTACCATTTTCAGTGTGTTTCAGATATAAGTTAAGCGTCTGCCAACGTTCATCATATTGAGCACAAAACGTCATTTTTGTAATCTCCGCCTTGTCGTATCTGAGTACATATTAGCAAACACATTGTACTGGGTGAGACAAACAGAAAGTGACCAGGATTCAAATATTTTTCCCCAATTAAATTTGATACACCAATGCACCTTTTAAACGAGAATCTTCCACGCATCTGAAATATATTACAAAATTGATCCTTACATGTTTACTAAAAGATTCCATTTTTTTCAGCTGCCAATAGTAGTTTGTGTCTGATGAGGAATAAATCAATTCTTTTCCTTGATCACTGTATTTAATGGGTATTTATCAAAGCGCATCTTTTAATGCTCAAAAATATAATGTTTTTCCTTTGAACTAAATATAACTTTTGAGTGTGCTAATTACGTGATATTTTCAAAGTACAAGTCAATAATGGTGTACTTTATTTATTCAATAATAGGGAGAGCCGCATATCTTGTGGATTTGTTTGTCTTACTCCGTCACTGTCTTTTGGACTCACCCCGTATACAGACCACCGAAGATCGAAAGAATTGTTTGTTAATGATTGGCATAATCATTTGACTGCACACTATCATCACATGAAATTGCAATACCAATCATCTAGGTAAACCCGTTAACCTTAAGACTGAAGCCATTGTTGTCATATGATTCCACATTCGGCTTGTTTTCCTGGCATTTGGATATAATACTGGTTTGGTGAAATAAATTATTGTGATTTTGTCCACATTTGTTTGTTTTCCAAGTGTCAATGGGGTAGTGATCGTAGATGGGATCCAGAATTTGAATGGGATTGTGGTTTTATAGTCAACGTGTACAGATCAAAGACCAGTCGAGGGCCGATTTCACGAAAGTCGTCTACTCAATACATTTCACACGGTAGGTTAGTTCTACACAAGATACGATAGAGTCATTCATGCTCCCATTCCATCACTTCATTTTAAACAGTCGATTAGGTATTGGCATGTAATTATACTTTTAAATTAGCTATTTTTGCTTATTTAAACCTATCCATGCATCAGAAATCTTTTCAAATCTGTTTCTACAGTGATTTTCTTCCTCGCAACTATAGCCTAACTCTAATGAAATAAACGCACGTTTTTATCGAATAAGACGACCCTTCGACCGATCTTAACTTAAGATGAGTTCAGCCGAACTGCTAAGGAAGTTAGGACGTCTTGAAAGCGTCTTAAGTTTGGTGAAATTAACTTTAGGACGAGTCGCGAGTTAATACGAGTTACCCTTCTTACTGATCTTAACTTAAGACGAGTTCAGCCGAACTGCTAAGGAAGTTAGCACGTCTTGAACGCGTCTTAAGTTTTGTGAAATTGATTTTAGAACAAGTCGCGAGTTAATACGAGTTACCCTTCCTAAGGCACGTTTCGTGAAATGCAGCCCCAGCAATGAGCTCATCAGATTAACAACACTGCAAAGCGTTAATACTAGAAAGTATAGGATATTGTTGTTAAATAACCATGTGACTAACTAACGTCGATCATCGTTCAGATAGACGAGGTTTGGTTGCAACTAAGCCAACCACCCTGAATGCGTCATCGTTTGGATTTTCCGGACTTTTCTTTTGCAAGATCTGCAAAATCGTGCAGGAACACTAGCTTTTAGATGACGTTCGAAAATAGAAGCCTTAACTGACAAGCAAAATTGCAAACCGTCATATCAGAAATAGTTCACCCAAAAAAAGCATTACACCCACAACAGGGTAATTACAAACACGACGCCCTATTATTTCCATTCGATTTTAAAATTTGAAATGTTACATTCCTCCTGTTTACATTCGAAACAATCCCGTGACGTTCCACATCAGTCCAGTGTTCTTTCTTGTACTTCAGAGGTTTAAACATTAAGTTGGTTTTTGTAATGTCTTTTCACCGCACTTCAACACAACGCTGTTGATACTTTTATTAGAGGAAACTTTGATAACACCCACACTTATACGCCTACTTTCATTTTCCTTGTCAAAGGTTCAGAACTTACTATTGAAAACGTAGAACTGTGCGGTTGTCCCTGGGCGTATTCGTTCTGAGTCAATTCCTCCCATTTGATCTGCCACGATCTACTCTTGAGTTCCGCATTCCATTTCAACTTTCTGTTGAGTTGAATACATAAAACGGAACCGACAGGGGTTTCAATAACAGCAGGTAGGGCTAACGATATTGCAACCTTTTCAACTATTCCTAAACACAGGAATTAATTGTTCTACATGTATATATATTTATCTGAAATTCAACTTACATCAATGTAGTAATAGAAAGGGGTGAGAACAAACGTGGATCACACATGTAAACGTTTAGACACGTCACCCTAAATTTTTCACCGTTTCTATTGAAATAAAATGTATAATTACAGGCTTTAAATTGGGCTTTAAATGTCAGGAATGGTGATTTGTACGCAGGCTAGCAGACTAGTATTGCAAACAGAATTAGTTGGCTCTTTATCTTGTGGGTTTAACATCATTGGCCAATTTGCAACATTTCTCACCTGGGCTTTCGTGCGTAGAGTAACTCATTTAATAGATGAAAGCACATTGTGCATGACATTATGAGTCAAAAGGGCATAAAACGCAGATAGGGTAAAGCTTCAATCTTCCTTATTTAAAGTAAAGCTGTAAAAAATCATGTTACAGTTTGTAGACTTATTAGGGCACGTCTGCAATTTAAAATCCCAAATGCCTATAAATATTCAATCGAACGTTATATAGTATAATTTACATTGCAATATAGATTTTCTCGGCTATTTTAAGAGATTTTGCATTCATATTCACCAACTCTAACATTCAGTTTTGTCCATGACAAATTTTACACGCTTTTACCAAAACAAATTGAGTCAATTACCATTCAATCTTAAAGTTTGGTCACCGTCTTTTGTCACCGGGTAGAGAATATTGGTCGTTACAGATCAAATTCGTCTAAGCTGTTGCCGAATGGCAGCATTCAGAGATCGAATTCGTCTTATATTAATCAATTAGACGAATTTGATTTCTGAATAATAAGGTTTTGCGTAGACGAGACGTTATTGAATACTCTGGGACAAAAACGTGTGCACATTATTTAAACTTTACTTGAACTTAATTTGAAATTGTATGACAAAAGACAAAATTAAACATTAGAAGTGCACTAAATCAATGTTGATGGACAAATTTGAATATTAGAGACGGTGAATTCGAATGATAACCGTTTAAAATAGCTGAGAAAACCTATATATAAATTCAGTTACCAGCATAAATAACGTGTTCTGTGACATGTTCGGCTCTGTGAGAAAAAATGTTCGCCTCTAATATGTTATGTTAACGTGCGGAATAACTTATATATTGAGGCGGAAAGATATGACAGGGCAATTGAACCGTGATCTGCAGCAAATTATACGCGTACATTGATTTGACAATCAACCTTGATATATGGTCGGTCGTCTTGTGCAAGTGCTCTGGCCAAAGTGTGTATTTAATTTTACAATTTTATCTTTCGCTCACTGAGGTCGAGGTCCTCTGATCTCACTTTTGTTTCGATCAATTATTAAACCTTAATTTGATTTATGCCTATGCGCTTTGAAAATTGAAGGACTCCCTTTGGTAAAACATTCTCAGTATCGACTGAATTTGTGATATACGATATTAAATTTGGGCACAATGTAGAGCACTTTTTAATTATGATGTTTTCGGGTAATTACGCAGAGTATATTAGAAACGTGGTTTATTGGTTACATAAAGTCAGTTTTACGACATAAGTTTCGAAGAATGGGCACAACCTATGTTTTGATGTTTTGAGAAAAGGAGTGTATTTTTTCACGTATTACTTTAAGGTTTAGTGTTTAATTTAGCATCAACCTCTAAGAGTGTTAGGTCTTAGTTGAAATAACCTATTATAATAAAATAATAATCGTAGTGCATATAAAACGCTCTCCATCGTGTGAACAATCTCAAAGCGCTTCACAATTATTAAACCGTTGATCAGGCCCTTTTATACTCCTTGGTGGAGAGAGGCAATCATAGTATAGTGTTTTACCCAAGGGCACAAACGCCATGTTCCTGAAGGATTCAAACCCACGCCCACAAGTGTGTATTTCGCTGCAATCGGGGACCCCCTATTGTCCCTCTGTTGTTCGTAACCTTTTAGGAAGACCTCCCATATATGTTTTGTGCACGATTCTAAATTGGGGACTTTCAAGAATTGGGGAACCTATTGTCCTCTATTGTTCAACGTCCGATATCGAATGCAGAAACAAACTCACGATGTGATCATGTTGGGCGTGTTCAGGCATCTAACCCGTGAACGAAAAATTACGGAGAACAAAATAGAACAATAGCGTCCACGATTCCCAGCATACGTCCGCGATTGGGATCGTGTACAAAACATAATGGGATTTCTCCTAAAACGTTGGTAGTACAAACAAAAGAGGGACAATAACACGTCCACGTTGGGAGGTCGATACACGACTGTGTGCTAAGTCCAACACCGGAATATGACCTTCAAATTGAAAATTAAGGCTGAAGCACAAAATGATTCTTTAATGAGCAATTGTTTTAAGTGAAAAAGATCACATTTCTGATCACATTCGATCACATTTCTGCTTAGGCCTGATCCAGACTAAGTGTTTTTCAACAAATACAAACATTGATATTTTAAACCTTTTTAACCTTTCAAAAACAAGTTTTACATTTTATAACCTTGAATATGACCTTCAAATTGAAAATAAAGGCTGATGCACAAAATGATTCTTTAATGAGCAATTTTTTAACGTACGTATTAGCAAAAACAATGAATGATTAACCGCACAACACTGTGCTTAAACGTACCTGTACAGTAATAGAATAGCAATGCTGCCCACAATAAGGATAGAGCAGGCTACAATGATGGTTGCTGTTAAAGTAACAGTTGGATCTTAAAGAGAAGAGCAAAAGGGAAATCACTGTAGCATTATAAAGGGAACAATAATAACAAATATACACATAAATTCAACAACATCTATGAATGATACATACATCAAACAAATTTTTGTTTATATCGTTCATGAACTCACAAAGGATGCTGAGAACGAGGAAAGTATACTTTCCAAAAACGACAAGCACACAAAAGAGGAATTTATCATGCAGACATACCTTGTAGGGCAGATTTAACGCGTCACTTAGCTAAACAGAGCTTGAAAAAGAAGAATAGCAAGAATAGCAAGCTACTACACGACACTAAGAAGGTACCAATTTGGCAACCAACATAGAACAAACAGAACCCAACACGAGGATCGGAAGCTGAAAGATAAACCACGATACCAATGGCATCAATGTAAAAGCCAGTAGCAATCACAGCTAGAATAGGAATGACATGCGATGTGTATACCCACCATCTGGTTGGCAGGCAGGGTTCTCATTATCGAAGCCACATGTAGGCGTGTCCGCTGGGGGACCTGTTGCCCCTCCCGGCCAAACTATGTCATCCACAAATTCCAATTCTCCGGTAGCCCCATAAAAGTTCCACACAATCTATTAGAACCAAAATAATGTGGTGTACTTAAGCTGAGTGTACATGTCATGCAACATGAGAAAGCTTTGAATGGTCGATCATGTGTTAAGCATTTAAAAATGAAGCCCGATGAAAGTAATTATAAAAAGGAACTCCAGCGCCATTTACGGGAGGTGGTCAAGCTCAACGGCGTTCCACTTATGCTAACCACATATCAAACCAAAGACCTCCTCATGTCAGCAACTGACTTTTCAGGATCAATCTTCGCCTGAGCTACGACCGCCAGGAACATTATCAGTCGTCATTTTTTTAAAGCGAATTTGGCGACGTGAGTGTAACTGCGACGTTATTAAGACGATCGGCATCAGTCGATATAAATCAACAATCCCAAGAGTAGAATCATTTCAACTTTTGCACCACAACAGTCAAGACAGGCGGGAATCAATCGTGGACTAGTTCGTGTGCGCATCCGGGGTATGCAGGGTATAGCTGTGGACAGTGGAGCTCAGTAAGTAGTACAATTAAATATAATATGGCATAGGAATTTGTTACCCCCACTTTTGTTCACTTAATTTCACAGTTTAAAGGGAATATACAACATTTGCAAACATCGAAAAATAAAACTACCAGGTTTTTACGAAACACCTTACTAGGATGTTGGTAAATGACAGTCTAAAGCATCCTGTAAAATTATGGCACCTGGTGTGAAGTCATTTTCAAGAAAATGGTATTTTTGTATACATTTCCAACGGTGGTCGGCCGACCACCGTTGGAAAAACCTAACTATTTTTCATCTACTGCTCCAACTTTACACTTTTTTCGGTCAAAATTTTTGTTTGCTATTGGTAACATGTTCATGAACGGGTGCAGGCCAGCTAGACTGGTTCTCTTACCTTACAATTTTCCGTCATCTATAAGTTGATCCATTTTGATCCATTTTATTTTTAGTGGAGTCAAGGAGCCAGACTACTTGAACATTTTTGTTTTTCTTGGTTTTTCCAGTATTTTCGAACACAAAACTTCAAACATGTCAGTGTAACAATATTCGATCTATTATACTTACCCCTCAAATAGTTCATTTCTGAAAATTACAGCAAAAGCCAATGATGTACATTCCCTTTAAATCTGGTGCGCAGAGTATTATACAGAGGTCCGGCGCTACATAATCGGATTATAGCTGGCACACTCCAATCAAAAATGAATAAAACAAAACCATAGAGTACAAAGTGCATATCGGATTTGTTCACATATCACAATGTAAAGGTATGTCAAATAGTTCAATCTTGTCCGATTTTGTCAAGCTTGACATAAACATCCTTTCACATTTTTGTTTCCTTCAAGAGATCCGACGTACACGTACGTGTACATGCATAGATATTCTCCCCACAAGCAAAATGGTAAGGCCCAATGAACAAATGCACGTTCTTTCCATCACAAATTTCTATAACTTCCTTGACGTGAACAGTATTCAGATCCAAATTACATTATTTAAAAATGAAATTAACTACTATAAAAACCACAGTTTTGATCCGAAAGAACTCATTTACAAATGGATAATTTTTAAATGTCTTATTTAAAGTAGAATTGGAGAAAACAACTCCTGTAAAACGGGTGATGAAATCAAGAAATCCGACGTACACGTACGTGTACATGCTTAGATATCCTTGAAGTGAACAGTATTTAGATCCAAATTACATCTTTTATAAATGAAAGTATTCAGATCCAAATTACATTATTTAAAAATGAAATTAACTACAAGCAAAATGGTACGGCCCAATGAACAAATGCACGTTCTTTCCATCACAAATTTCTATAACTTCCTTGACGTGAACAGTATTCAGATCCAAATTACATTATTTAAAAATGTCTTATTTAAAGTAGAATTGGAAAAAACATGTCCTGTAAAACGGGTGATGAACAGAGTTTAAGATCATGAAACGCGTGGTAAGGCCAAAAAAAAAATATTCGGTCTCTGGTCAGACCAAAGTTCCGGAATTGATGCGGCGACGCGGCTTTTTTTTTTTTTTTTTTCCTTTTTTTTTTTTTTCAAGCTTGGATTGTACAGACAAGGTGGGGTACTATTTTGCTTTTTGTTGTCCTCATGTACATTGGTGTCCTCCATAATTTGCCTTGGTGCTCTCGATCATTTGCCTTGGTGCAATTTGCTACTGCGGAACATTTTGGGGGAAAAAAGAATGACGCGCATGATTAAAATCGACGCGCGCGCTGACCAGAGACCGACTTATTTTTTTTTTTTTGCCTAACAATGGTACATCGATGTAAGTCTCAAACAATGCCTTATCGAACGAAAGTTGTCATTTGCCACTTTTTTCTTTGTGAAAAGGATGTAATTTTTTTATTTTCAACCAATCAAAACAAGTTTTGCATGATAAGAAAGAGGAGGAGCTAAGCTGTTCGATTCCGTTTAACCCCGTACAGTTCGATACTCCAGTCAGGAGTAAGAGTCAAAAGAGTCAACGCGAGGGTGCTCAATCGGTGCGTTTACACGACAAACTGCCGAAAAGTTCACATTTCCAAAGCCCAAATGACGTGGATTTTGTTCAAGATAGAAAAAATAACATATTTCATTAGAAAGGGTTAAATTGTTTAGAACTGTTTAACCCCATTGAAAAAGACCGCATGGTTATCGAACTATGACTCAAATGTCGAAAAAAGGGCCATTTTACGGGGATTCTCACCCGGAAACGGGCCCGCACATAGGTTTTAGCCCTAAGTGAACACAACAAATTCATATGAAGATGTTTGATTTTGAATGCTAATTCAAACTTGGTGGTTCAGCTACAATACCGTATAGTTTCCATTGTCTGTGTCGGTCATGTCCCAAAGAGAGAAATCGTAATCACGATCACCATTCTCATTCAATGACACTTTCCCGGCGATACCTACAAGAAAACAGCATGACGGTTATGAGGCTCTGCAATACACTGCGTCTAAAGTAACACAACACAAGCCTAACACTCAAATCAACAACGAACACACAAACAAAATCCATGACCACAAAAACGCAGCGATTTATAAATAACAGCAACAGCTCATACCAACATACATGTTGCTATAATGACTGAACAATGGAACGAAACAATCAGGACAATGACAACAACTAAAAAATAGCAAAAGTGAATAAAAGCCACATGTGCAACAGCAGCAGCGGCAACATCCGTATATTGAATGCAGATGAAGCTAGAAGGATTGTCAAAAGGACAATTTTGCCGTAAGTGCCAATCTCAGACAAAAAGCTTTAAAAGTATTGATATAAAAACATTAAGGAAACTGAAGCACTATAGGGCAAACAGCACCTACTCATGATCTATTATTCCATTAATGCCCCGTGCAATACGTATGTTTATGTTCTAAGCCCGTTCCTACCATCAAACGTCCTGTTCCACATCTTTCTAGTCAGCAAATAGCCATCAGATAGGTTCCCATGCTCTCCCAAAGTCTCGTTTACAGCAAGAGAAAATAAGATGACGGCGTCATGAAAGGTACCGGTGAAGAAGTTGTACTGGAAATCATAACATCCAAAACAATAACGTTGTTTGGGTATTTAAGATATAGCTATTTCATATTTTTAATAGGAGGCCTTGCCCTAAATACTATGTCATCACTTCAGAACCGTGAACTAATATTTTCATGTTTAGACCTGCATATCTTAAACTTATTTATATATATTTTTTTCTCTTTTGTGACTGCATTTTATTTCCTTTGACTGTTTGACCCCTTTGTGTCATTAACCTATTGCTTCACTAGTATTATATATTTAACTTCGTAACAAATTGCGCACTATTCAATCCTAGCCCTAATTTGGGTTTCCACCGTGAGCGTTTCATCGTACAGAAGTCACATGAACTGAATATAATTGTGTATATAATTTGTTTATACATAGGTGGAATTGGTCAGTATTTGAACGTACCAACTGCCTACACTATGCAGGAACGTGCTCCAAGATTTGGTCAATTTTTATCTGAATCAAGTAATTTCGACCAGTATTGGGCAAACAACATTACATGTAGGCCTTCCCATTTGTTTTACCAAAAACCATGGAAACTAGTATACTCGAACTTTTTTTTTAGTATACTAATATCGACAATACTTTACATGTTATAAAATAAATGCGTTACGAACCTGTTCTCCCGGTGGGCTGGTCCAGTTAAAATCCCGCTGTCGGCGGCGTTCAAGCTCCGCTTCGAACTCATTGAGCTCCTTGTTGCTTGGTTCAAAAAGACGAAACGTCATCAGTGCCTCATATGCGCGTTTTGCTTCTTCTTCAAACCCGTCTCCCTGGGAAAAAGATGCGTTACCATTCTTCACTAAGTTAAAGGACACCAACTCAAAGTATAAGACTTTGTATATAAAAATGATAGGCTTACGATTGGAAGCTTGAATAGCGTGCATAGTTGCATATTGACAGATTTCAGTTTGCGTAGCAACAAGACAAGACTAACTTTGTTAAATGGGCTTCTGCAACACCTATGCAACATTTGTCGATTTCTCAGCATTCAACCATGGAACCGGAAACTACAGTTCCCAACATTTGGGCCCTCGTTGATTCTGTTCGGGACCGAGCTCAATCGGTTGACGTCAAAGACGCACCATGTGTACCAACAACTGTTTTCCTTAACTTGTCAATATGCTGATAATACAGTTTTTTAACGGTACCGCTGGGACACTGAAACGTCCTACAGACATGAGTATCAAAACATCTAATTGTGGTGCTATGATAACGATTTATAAATTAATGAAAGAAAAAAAGGAAATTGTTACTTTTTCTTTCAAAACATAACAATAATAGTACATCGGTAGTCCTGTTATTACTCCTATTAGCACGAAGAACTGTAATAATGAAATGTTAAGTCGCTTGATCAGATCAGTATATATATAGGCACTTGTATTCAAACGTCCACGACGGATGTATTTCTTAAGAGAACTTTGAATTAAACTGACTAGAAATTTAATACAGCTGTTTAACATTTCAGTCATTGAAAGTGTCATCCTTTTGACAATTTGATGTATTGTACGGTTTAAAACCTCAGGAAAGAAGACATGCGTAACCTGCAAAGGATAGACATGAAAACAACATATTGGGAGAAAACTGATCTCGCAGAGAAATACGTATGCTGTCAAACAAGGTTTTTTTTGCATACGCCTACTGATTGTCGTGCACGTTCATTGAAAAAAAAAATGTCGTCCAATTCATGACATTGTTTATTAATGATGAATATATCAATTTTGTAGCTTTATTAGTTGGGACCTGCAAATATCTATTCCGTTTATACTGTTCATACATATAGGTTTCCCCACCAATTTCACGCCAGTTCAGTCTAGCAAAACTTTCATTCGGATTCGCATAAAACAGGCGTTTTCACGCTCGTCCCAATTTCGCGAAAATTTCAAAAGTAGAATTATGTTACAGACGTCTGTTCACGACCATTATGTCAATTTGGTCGATTACGTCCGAAAACAGATTTTGACGAGCAATGGCCGATTATGTCCCACCCATTATGTCCGACGGCTGATTATGTCCGACCCATTGTGTCCGACGGCCGATTATGTCCGACCCACTGAGTCCGACGTCCGATTATGTCCGACCAGTTCGTGTCCGACGGCCGATTATGTCCGACCCATTATGTCCGACTGCCGATTATGTCCTACCCATTGTGTCCGACGGCCGATTATGTCCGACCCATTATATCCGACGGCCGATTATGTCCGACCCATTGTGTCCGATGACGGGATACGTTCGACCTATTGTATTTAGATGGTCGATTACGCCGGATCCATTCGGTTGTGTCCTGACATTATTGAATAATCTTTGGATTGTAACTGCAGTGCGCGCGTAAAATTACCGTGAAAAATCTGAAAATGTGCTAATCGACCTATCGCGGTAGAACCGCGTCAATGGAGCTTGTTAAATACTGTCCAGTTACAATGATATACACATGGAAACGAAACGCGCAGAATCTGAGACAAACAAAACTTAATGCCAACATTCAATAGGGTTGTCTAAGGGGCGAGGCTAACTTGCAAACGGCGATTGGTCAATTTGGTCGATTCACAATGCAGTGCGCCACAAGGAGTTTGCCACGGAGAGTTCATTTTTCAAAATGCTATGCCCTAATCTATAACAAATTAGCTGAAGTTGTCTACTGGCACTCGTTCAAATGGGCCATGTTTTGTCGACCGTAAACTTGAAAAATAGACTCTCCACGGCAAACTCTTGGTGGCGCTCTACATTTCGAATCACCCGAATTGCCTGACTTGTCTATCCACCCCTCGTTTCTACCCATTTGTTTTCCCACAGTTTGTGGGTAAAAGTGATTCATCTTGACATGATGATGTGCAAATGTAAAATGTAATCCCGAAATCAAATTATCTAATCATATATTTTTTAATAAAGATATGTCTATTTCCAAACGTGTCAAATTGCCGTAGTATATACATGTTCGAAGAACAGATTCATGCATTATAAATGATGTACAGTTGAAACGGCATCGGAGACCAGAAACAATAAAGACCCCTATTTGCGATATGAAGACATCTCTTTAACATACGGGTCCTGATTCCGATAAGTGTTGCAATTGCACTCAGTGTTGCAATTGCACTCTATGAAAAGATTCCTTTATAGAGTGCAAAAAAAATGAGGACATTGAAAAGTCACTTGTGAGAGTAATAAGAGCCCAAAATAGAGGATGAAATATTATATCAGATTACATAGGACGCCAAAACATTATGACAAAAAACTTTCAGAGTTTACTGGACAAAATTGGGTCCGGGAAAATCGGATTCCTGATATCCAATTCTGTTCAAATCCAATCTTACTTTTATGAGTGAATGCTTCTTAATATACGACCGCATTGTAACATTACGATACGGGGTGAAGTTAAGATTAATCAGCATAATTAATTAATTAACATAATCAGCAATGAAGACCTACAGGCAAATCAAACAAAATCCTCGATCGGCCGTCGGACACAATGGGTCGGACAAAATCGGCCGTCGGACACAATGGATCAGACATAGTCGGCAGCGGACATAACGGGTCGGACATAATCTGCCGTCTGACATAATGGGTCGGACATAATCCGACGTTGGACATAATCCGACGTCGGACACAATGGGTCGGACATAATCCGACGTCGGACACAATGGGTCGGACATAATCGCCGTCGGACATAATGGGTCGGACATAATCAGCCGTCGGACATAACGGGTCGGACATAATCGGACGTCGGACACAATGGTCTGACATAATCAGCCGTCGGACATAATCGGTCGGTCATAATCGGACGTCGGACATAATGGGTCGGACATAATCGCTGTTGGACATAATGGGTCGGACATAATCGGCCGTCGGACACAATGGGTCGGACATAATCGGCTGTCGGACATAGTGGGACAGAGATAATCAGCCTTCGCTCGTCAAAATCTGTTGTCGGACAAATCGACCAAACGGACATAATGGTCGTGAATAGACGTCTCTAATGCTAGGAATTTGGCCTCAGTCACGGATGGTGTAGAGGGTGAGTGCCCACCACACAGGGCCACTCAGCACAATGGACTTCGCACTGCAGTGTTGAAGGCTGGAGCCTTGTGAGGCCGGTACGTGACAATTTGTCAGAAGACGCCGAATACAGAGGGCAGGATCCTTTGTCTGTAGGACATCACTCAAGAAGAGTTTCAGAAACAAGGAAAACTTTTTTTGTTAACGAAACTGTTTACTTAATTGAGATTTTCATCTCTGTTTTCTTCAAACAAAAAGATCTGAGGGTATAGTTCATAAACGGCCTGACAAAAATTGTGCTCGTCGTATAGCATCCAAGCCGCGCGTGACACAGCAATCTAGCGGCTCGATCTTCTATAGAAACACTGTAAAAAGGTTGGCTAAAACACTGTTCGTCTATGTAATTTACCCAGCATTGGTAGGAAATTACCTCATCTTGGGTACAGGCTGTCAAACTATTTGGAAGAATTTACCCACGAGTGTAGGCAGTTGATAGTTCGACCAGCATTGGTCGAATATTGTCAACCCATTTTGCCCAACTTCCTAGGCATTGTAATTACACGAAAACAGCACACTTTAAATATAAATGTTCGTATTCCACTTTTAATGAAGTTTCCAACCATTATTATTTCGTGGTAGACGCGTTATCGGGTCCATAATTGTGCATTCTCTCGAAGGATGCACACCAACAAACAAATTCCAATAGAAACCAATGATAAATACCCCTCATTCAAAAACAATGAAGAGAAATACTAACAACTCAGTCTCCAAGGTGTTCAAGACACACGTCATCGTTCATTAGCCCTCCACTTCCTTATTTTACACCCTATATAATAATTCGTGACATAGCCGCCTTTTTATATTAAAAATGCAGATTTGTTTATATTAGAACAATGCAACACGAATTCTCTCTGGAGTATCAAATTTCATATAAAAATACCAAAAAAAAAATCGAATATTAATGCACGCATGCATGTGAAAACGTTAGCGAATGGACGACATTGAATTCTCATCAACCTTTTGCTACTCGATTCAACCAAAAAAGCGAACTTAACGACCATTTGAATTCGATCAGAACAATTCTTTCGAAAAAAATGCCCACCTATGAAATCAAATGACTCCTTTCGACGATTTAACGCTGATACAAAGCAGCATTCAATTTCAAATGAAATTAAATGGGCCGAGTATTTGATTGAACGATTTTTTTTATTGGCCTGGGTATCGTATATCAAATAAGAGAATGATTGGCATGAAGGATTTGTTTTAGTTGGTGAAATAAATAGGGTCGATGTCGTCCACAAATCGATGTTATACGCATGGCAATAATTCATCTTTATTTTTGACGTAGGCTTAAACTAGTCTGGCATTTCAGTAATCATATTAATATCTTTGTTATCTATTTAATTATTGGGGAAAAGGGTGACCCACTTCTGTGGCTGGTTTCACTAATCCAATAAAGACATGCATGCCCGAAAACGCTGATTGTAATTCCGCCATGCAGGAGTAGTTTTCATCAAGGGGCTATACGAATGACGAAGACAATCGTGTACGAGGGAAAAGATAGGCATAATGCTACGGAAGGATGTTTCTAGAACGACGCTTCAGAAACTGTGCTAAAATCAGGGGCGGCGGAACCAGGGGTGGGCAGGGGGCACTTCCCCCCCATCCCCCTCCATTTTCCCAGGCTAACAAAAGTGCCCCTATTGCGGTCATAAATTTAATGTGCCCCCTCGAAATGAAAACAAAACTGTCTCTTAAACGCACACATGACATGAAAGCATTATGATCGAGCTTAAAAATGTTGTCTTCTCTTTTGTAATGCAAACACGGGTGTCGCCACAGAAAGGTTACCCCCCCCCCCCCCCCCCCCATTTAGTCAGTGTTTCGGTAAATTCATGATGCTGCAGGCAAAATACCGTAATGCTTGCTGGAGGAAGGATGTCCATTCTAAAACATGGAAGTGTCTGGATATATCCGAAGTCCATTGAGACTTGTGAGAAGAATAGAGAAGGAAAGGGAAAGGAAGAGGGAAGAAAAATTGAAGAATGTAAATAATAAACACCGCTGCTCAAAACCCCGCGAAGCTAACTTCCAGTTCTGCACCCGATTTCACGAAGCGCTGCATGCAACGCGTCGCAACTCGAGTTAACACGTCGCAACTCGCGACGCGTCGAATCTTCCATTTCACGAAAGTTGCGATGTGTTGAAGGCCGTAAATTCCTTGACAGCGGCTAAAACGCGTCGCAAGTTATGACGTGTCTAGTGGTCATCGCAAAATAAGAAGAGTCATTCCTAAGTAGTCCGAGTAACTATAGGACTCTACGGATCGTTTTTTTTTTAACATTTGGACATGGTCAGGCGATAGTAGAGTCCGAGATCGATGGCCCTAGTGCGGTTACTAATAATTGTTTTCGACCACTTGTACCCCCACTCAAAACCGTCAGATTTCACCCCCAAATCGGTTTTCTAACTGCCTTATGCGCCCCTGTAGGCTTCAGTAGGAAGTGAAAATACAAACGGTGGTGGTTAGGTAACCTTTGGGAAGAAAAGT